TTTCCTTCTCCCCATCCCCCTTTACTTGTCTAGTCAGGTATTTATTCCATTTACACAAGCGCTTGTAACCTTCAGCCACATTCTTGCTGCCAGCTGTCCGTGGCTGATCCAAACACTCTGCCCTTTCAGAAAGTGAAGCTTCATTTGTTTAAGGGTTATAGTGCCATTTTCAAGTAGTAAATCAAAAGCTGTCTTGAAATACTCTTGCTAGCCAACATTCCTGGTCCTTCCGGTGTTCAAGAAGAAACTTGAGTCATAGGTGATGACATTCTCACATTTTAGGACTTTTACTCAAATGTCACAATATTTTTATAAGATTTCATTATGTTCTGGAGTTGGGCAGCCCATCTAACGTCCTCCTTTAAACCTGACATTTGTCTTTTGCTGGGCTTCATGGCATTGCAAATTCACGAGGCTGGAAGATAGTCTGTGGTGTCTGTCATACAGACAGCACAAATTACAAACTGTGTGAAACCTGAAAATTCTGACCTCTAGTAAAAGGATATGTTGGAAAGGTCTCCTGCACCTTTAGTTAGATGATGTTACATGATACGTGAACCAAGTCATATGATCCAGCATGTTGCAATTACAACATTGCATCAGGGTTTCTCTGAGCTTGTCTTCTTACAGCCCGTTATTTGTTTCACGTTGGTTCCATGCTTTGATTATCTGTTCCACATCTGTTAAATTTTATGACAGTATAGACAATCCTTCTGTATAACCGATACCTCCACAACACCTGCATCCCTAGATGATGATGATTATAAGATTATTAGATCTTCTAGTAGAGCAAGTAGGATTTCTCCTGTCTTCAGCATTGCACAGGGATGATAAAACTGTTAACCCCTTGGTTGAGATCTCATTTGCTTACTTCATATATTGTTGGGGTTTTTATTGCTTAACTGCAGTGTTTAATGCTTAAACAGTTTCATTTGAGCTATATTAAAATTATTTATAATTTCTCTATTATATGTGGAACACAGAATTATTCCTCTGAGTTTCTGACCAATAACGGAGGTGTGTAAAACTACACCCCATTCTTTCAACATGTTTAAATCCCTGACATCTCATCTCACACATCTGAAAACATTTGAAACCTCTCGGAAACATTTGAAAATAAATCCCTGTGATTCCCCTCTCTTGTGAGATGTAACATTGTGTTCAGACATGTAATTGCACATTCCTTCTGACTTGAAATTTGCTGATATCTTTCTCTGCTGCTGCTTCCTGAGAATTTGCATTTATCCTCCTTATATTGTGCCAGAGCTTCTAATTTGCGGTTAAGTAAGCTTCCAAGTCTTTCCTTCTCAAACTGCAAAATCCAGTTCACGTCATGAGTGAAATAATAAACTTGGTGTGGGTGATGCACTGTTACTGTCCTGTGCTTCCTGTCTTTCACTGTAGAAAACTGTCTCAGCATTCTCCCAACTCCTTTTCTTGTTCACACTCTGGATCCCTTCACAGTCTTATTGGTACACTGAATGTGGCAGATTTGTCTGCTTTTGAAGTTTTAGTGGCCTCTGTGTTTACAACTTTACTAGCAGACTCTTTTCCCTGATTATTCTTTTTTATTTCTTTAACACTCTCCACACCTAATTTTTTTTTGTCAGAAGAAGAAATTTTTAGTTGCCTTTTTGTGTTCCACACAAAGGACTTCTGGAGGTCAACTGCTCCAACTCGCAACTCAAAGCCAAAACAGTTTTGATGTTAGATAAGGTTGTTCAGGTCTTTGTGCAGTTGAATTTTGAAAATTTCCAAAGGTGGACATTTTGAGGCTCTGCCGTTCCCCGGTTCTAGGGGTTCTTTTCCTAGAATGTAGGTTATCATATGTTCCAACTTGTCTCTTGCCTCTAGTCTTTTCACTTCGCACCTCTTAAAAATAAAACCTCCTTCCAACTTCTGTTGAGACTAGCCGTTTAGACTTCCCGAAGCTGAACAGTTCCAATTCTCTCAATTTCCCCATGCACATCATGTGATCCCACCCTCTGAGCATCTTGGTGGCCTTCCATTAAGCTGGGGAATGTTTTGATTTTTTTTTTTTCCTTCCACCGAGGACCCCAAAATTAGACGTAGCATTCCAGATACGGTCTCACAAGTGACAAACAAAGGGGAAAAAATCACTTCCCTCAACCTACTGGCTATGCATTTACCAATGCAGCCTTGTGTGCAGTCGATGCAAAGGCTTGCTGCTTGTTCCTCTTTGTTCATCTTGTCTACCGGTGCACTCGTGTACTCTTTCTCAAGGTGCCTTCTAGCTGGTGAGCACCATCCTGTGCTGTGGTGTTGTTCCATCCCAGGTACAGGACTCTGCATTTGCCTTTGAACTTTGTGAGGTTCCTGTCAGCTCGCTTACCCATCCCGTCTGGGTCCCTCTTAGGAGCAGCCCTGCCCTCCAGTATATGAACTTTGAACCACTGAGCATGACTACAGCAAGCTTCCCACCCACCTTGTAATTTCTCTGTGAAATCCATGTGCAGCCTGGTTTGGCTACAGAGATACTTCGAGATGCTATGTTGGAAGTCATGCTGCAGTCAATGAAAGGAAATAGGTACTGCTGTCCCCTTGTCCACCAAGACAGGCATCTTCTTGTGGAAGGCAGTCAGGTTAATGAAGCACAGCTTGTCCTTTTTAGATCTGTGCTAGCTCTTCCTATCCTTTCTTGTCCATCCACTGCTTGGAAGTGGATTCTGGAAGGATTTGCTCTGTGATCACTGTGGGCAGTGCGGTTGGGCTGATGTTCTAACCTGTAGCTTTCTGGATCCTCTTGTTGCCCTTCTAGAACATGGACATGACATTTGCCCTTTACCAGCTGTCAGGAGCCTTCTCACGTTGCCACAACCTTTCAAAGGTGATGGAGAACAGTCTGGTAATGGTGTTGACTGGCTCCTTCAGCAAGCCCAGGTGTATCCTGTGTCATCTTGTGGCCTGTTTTATGTAGTTTGCTTTATTGGTCCTTAACTCTGACTTCCTCTACTGTGATACTTCACTGCCCCACACACTGCTCTTAGCTTTGGGGAGCTGGGAGACCTGTGAGCAGAGCTTGCCAGTGAAGCCTGAGGCAAAAAAAAAGGCATTGAGTACCTTCATCTTCATGTCCTTTGTCATTAGACCCCCTACACCACTGAGCAGCGGGCCCACATTTGCCTTATTCTGTCTTCTATTGCCAGTGTAGTTATAAAGGCTCTTGTTTCCCTTCATAACGCTGGCTAGTTCCAATTCTACCCGACCGAGCTTGACTTTCCCAATACCATCCTTACATGTCTGGGAGATTCCTGCTGGGTAGCCCATCCCTATTTCCATGCTCCAAACTTCACTTTTTGTGCTTGAGTTGAGGCAGAGGTTGCCCATTCAGCTGAACTGGCTCTCTGCCGTGCCTGCTGGATTTCCCGCTAACTAGAACAGGTTCTTCTGCTCTAGGAACATGTCATCTTTGGAGATCAACCCACTCTTCTGTTCTCCACAGCAGCTTCCCACAGGATCCTGCCAATGTGTTCCCTGAACAAGCTGTAGTCTGTTCTGAAGCCCAAGGTCTGCTGTTTTTCTTCCTCAGTTCTTCCAGGGTCTTAAATTCCACCGTCTCATGGTTGTTTCTGCCAAGGTTGCCTCAGACTTTGTCACCCTGGCCAGTTCATTCTTGTTTGCAGTCGAGCAGAGTGTCTCCCTCATGGGGCCTGTTGCTCACTTGGGTCACAAGGAATGTTCTTGATGGTCAGGCATCTCCTGGATTGTTTGTAGCCCGCCAGGTTGCCCTTCATGAATATGCAGGAGTGGTTAAACTATTTACTAGATGTTCATTATCGTCGTCATACTTAATGTACCTCTGATCCTTCCTATTTTTCCTGTGTCCAGACCTGAGATCCCCTTTAATGCCTTCCTTGGGATCATACTCCACAGTCTTTGATCCTGAACAGCGATCTCACAACATAGGTTTCTAATCTTCTCTGAATAGAAGCATCCACAGCTTTTCATACAACTTGTGCTCTTCCCTCGTAGAGGTCTTGCTGCAGCCAACCTGTTTCGTTTGGTTTGTCCTTACTCTACACGTGAGGGGCAGCGTCAGAGATTGTTATGCTTAAGAAAGATTCCCTCCAGTATTATGGATGCCATTCATTGCTCCCATTCATTCAGCCAGGAATGCATTCACTAGAATGCTACCTTGACAAAGTTAAAGAATCTTGCATGTTTTTAGGATTTGTCAGAGGCCAGGATTACAGTGGTTCCCCATACAGATTCCCACAACTGCCAGCAAGAAAAATACGAAAGACATACTTATTTTCTATACAATTTTCTGTAGCTCATCTACAGAACATTCCACCAGAGGATCCTTGAACAGAGCATTGTATACCTAATTTTAAAAAGTGTGGGACTACACACGCAGTGAACACTGTAGAGCACTTGGGGATGGCCAGCAGTTGCACAGATGTATGCAAACTTGAATTCATACGTATTCCGTATGGAGTTGATGGATGGATCCGAAGAGTACCCCGCGTGATCTGAAGTTGCACATGAAGGTTACTCAGTTATACTCCTCGCCGTCTGACTGCTGTGGGACCCTCCTGGTGTGTAGGAGTGGGTTGCACCTGCGTTGCTCTTGTATGTGACAGGTTACTTCACACTCCTGTGTTTTCAATGGAGTGTCCATGAATCCTGCAGCACAGCGGGTGGCAATGAATAATTGTCTGAAAATCCAAGATAGGCGTCTCCTTTTCATTACCAGAGTCTTCCTGTAAGCTTGTGAATGATTATTAACCATGTGAAATGAGTCAACAAAATTCAAAAGACATTTCAGTTGTTAAAACTAAAGGTAGAGGTGGTTAATAGTTTCCAGACAATAATGGAAGGGTCTGTTAACAGTGACTGCAGATTTCAAGAGTTACCAAGAAGGCTCTAAGCATTTAAATAAAAATAGCTTATTTTGACTCTCAATGAAAAATGTTAGTGAAAACTCTTGTATTCTGTTAATGCATACTTTATCACAAGTTTTATTTGTTTTGTTTTAGATGAGAAGATTGTGGAAAAAATCCGAGCTTTGCAGATGAAAGCTGAAGACTACGATGTTGTTAAGGTGATTGGAAGAGGAGCTTTTGGAGAAGTGCAGCTGGTAAGAATGTAATGATGAAACAGATTTATGGCTCTAGCCAAAAGCTTACCCAGTTTTGCATACTTTATACCTAAGAATGCATTCTTATAAGGAATAAGTGTTATTTTCATTGTATTGTGAGGTCATTTCTGTGCATAGTGAACAGTACATCCGAGTTTGAAACATGAATTGGAAGGGAAGGACATGGGAAACAGTTTGCTGTCCTTTAATCAAAAGGGACCTTAAAGACCATCTAGTATCTAGTTCCACCCCCCCTGCCATGGGCAGGGACACCTTCCACTAGACCATGTTGCTCAAAGCCTCATCCAGCCTGGCCTTGAACACTTCCAGGGATGGGGCATCCACAGCTTCTCTGGGCAACCTGTTCCAGCACCTCAACACCCTCTCCAGGAAGAATTTCTTCCTCATATCTAATGTAAATCTCCCCACTTTCAATTTAACCCCCCCTTGTCCTGTCACTACAGGCCCTTGTAAAAATTCCCCCCCAGCTTCCTTGTAGCCCCTTCAGGTACTGAAAGGCTGCAGTAAGGTGTCCCTGGGGCCGCCTTGTTTCCAGGCTGAACAAGCCCAACTCTCTCAGCCTGTCCCCATAGCAGAGGGGCTCCAGCCCTCTGAGCATCTCTGTGGCCTCCTCTGGACTCTCTCCAACCGGTCCATATCCTTCTGATATTGGGGGTTCCACAGCTAGATGCAGAACTGCAGCTGGGGTGTCACGAAAGCAAGAGTAGAGGGGGAGAATCAGTTAAAATACAAGTAGAAATTATAATGTTATGTAGTTTTACAGCTAAAAAACGAGTGGGATAATAAATACAACTGTAGATCTGAACTAATATTAGCGGGTGATGAGGGCATACATACCTAGATTTTTTTGCCTCACAAGGTATGATACAAGTTTAAACTATTGAGCTACGCTGTATCTATTTCTATTCCATTCAGAATGTTAACACCACAGTTGCAGATGATGGATTTGCAGTAATCAAAATATTTTGAAACACATTCTGTGATTAAAATAGAAATTTGCTTCAGTGGGGGTTAAACACAGAAAGAACCATAAATAAAACATGATTAAGTACCTGAGTTGAAGTCATGGATGTTGTCACTGGTGTGTGCTGTTGTGCATAAATATTTGTAGCACAAATATTTGTTGGGTATTTGTAATATTTAAATATAACAAGCCAAAAGATGAGTATGTGAATTCATGGCTTTGTTTCCCCCAACCTTTCTGTTCCAGTATAGCATTTTCTTGTGAAAGAAGTGGTGCAGAGAGATCAGCTTTCTGGACTCTTGGAAGAAAGGAAAATACATACTCTACTGCTGTTACCTTACAGTTAGATTTAAAAAAAAACCCCAACACCTCATTTTCCCCCTTCCCTTCACTCCAAAATAAAATAATAACAAAAAAATTTTAAAAATTTCTGTCCAGTAAGGAGGGATCAGATAACTCTGGTCTGAGCGTCTGACTTTGGTGGAAAAACACTTTCCTATAACTCCAGAGGTATTAAACTCTACTCTTGAGCTCTGTCCTCTGGCTTTGCTGGGCCTGCAGCGATGGGGAAAGCTAAGAAAATAATTGCCAGCTGCCAGATCGCTGTTTCTCTTACGCAGTGCCGTGAATGAAAGTGACTGGTGTCTGAGGCAGACAGAAAAATTGAATTATGGTGCTTAATATGTTACCTGTGTGTTTTTCAGAAACAGTAATTTATGAAAGCACGTCCTGAGCTCCTTTTGGTTGTTTTCACTTGAGGAAAAATCCTCTTGATTTCAATTGAAACATATCCACAATTCCTTCTCCTGAGTCTAATCACAAAGTACTGTACCACTGCAGTGACACAGCAGACTGACTTGGTCATGTCCTGGAGCAGGAGACCAAAGCAAGGCTAACTCTTTCTTCTGTTTGGGTAGTGAAGGATTGTCTGGGTGTCGGTCTTCACTGTGTGATTTCTTAGTGTTGCAAACCAGCAGTTGTCATGGCCTGTGTAAACAGGTGCTGGTTTAGTTGTTTCCATTAAGTGCTTTGTTTATTAGGTTTAGTTCCCCAGCCACTGCTGATGTGCTCTTCTGTAGTGATGCCAGTAAAGCAGTTGTGGTCTGCTACCTGCCAATTTGCCAGGACATGAACTTTGGTACCCTATCTGTAGTAATTACTTAGGGCTCTGTTAAATGTTTTAGTATATTTGTGATTATTTCAAACATTAGAGCTTACTTCACAACTCCATTCTAGGATCTTTGTTTTCTTTTCTCGTGGAAGAGATGGTACCGTTACCAATATGACGTGCTCAGTCTGGTAACTTCTAATGGACAGGTTATTTCCTTTGCTGACAAACTGTCTTCTGACGTGAATGCTTTAGAAATTATGGATGCATTTTGTGTGTACTTGTTTCTTGAAAGTCTTAAATGGATGAAGCAGAATGGAGGGAAATTCTTACTTAATGCATTTTCAAACTTAAATGGGGCCACGTTACTCAGTGCTGATGGCACGAAGGGATTTTCCTACCTATTTTGAGAGTTAACTCTGGTGAGCTGCAGTTTAAATTTGGCAGTTCATTTAAACAGTTGGAAGAAACTGAAACATCATGACGGTTTAATACATGAATAATGTGCCCTATGAGCCAATATATGTATGTACAGATATAGCTCTGGGTAAAGAGCACAGCACAGTGGCCGTTCTCCAGGGGCCATGGTGGTGATATAAGAGGTAGTGTCACGGGTAGGTCTGTTCACCTGTAAGGCACGCCAATCCGCAGCCTTTGGGTGTGCTCGTATGTGAGTTGTTGCTTTGGTTCCTTGACTTTTTTACAGAGAATGAACCTATGTTGAATTTTTTCAAGAAGTAATGTAACCAGCTGATAACCTATCGACATTTCCTTGGAGAGGTGCACAGACTGGGATTTCTGGTCCCCCTACCCTGTTTACTTTATACGTATAGCTCCTATACATGAGCTTTCTTTGGACTGTGGTGACTTCTTGAGACGTTTTTTCCCCTCTTTTTCCAAGATGTGAGAGACAATTATTCTCACAAATGAAGGCAGCTATACTAACTACACCCAGTCAAGGCTCCACAACGATTTTAGGAATTGTAAACTACTACATGCTTTGCACAGCTTTATGTGAATGTCCACAGAAAGTGCATCTTCTATTAAAGAGTATCTTTTTGGGGTTGCTGGTCTTCCTGTTTCTCCTGGGTTTAAGCGGGATTACAAAAGCTCTGCTGTATGGAGTACAGTTTGTGATGTACCACCAAGTTTTTGTAAATAATCCCATGTGGGATTAGTAAATGCGAAGGGGGTAGTTTTCAAAATCCTTTTTTAGGACACCTTCACTAGCTGGCTAATTGTTAATGTCTTACAGTAGACATGGAGTTGTTAACTCATGTAGATACGTGTTTAGGTTCTGGTGTTTGGAGGTTTCTTGACCTAGCTGTATGGAAGGTTGTTGATCAGGGTTAAACTCTGCAGGATGCTAATCCTAAACTTTTGTACCTGAATCTTGAGAGCAAAAAGCCCCAATGTCAAGAACACTTAAGTTCATAAATAACCCTGTTGCTGGTCATGTTCTCACTCTTCCCAGAATCCCCCCTTGCCTAGCCTAATGATTCTCCTGTTCCGACAGATTATTCTTGTTGGTGTCAGCAACATTAATGTTTACAGCTCCTCAGGAGCAGGAGGCTGATGCTCCCAGATTGTAGACCAAATAGGTGCCTCTCTGAAGCTTTGCACTGCAGACATAGTGGATCTGAAACATTTGCAGCTGTTCAGGATAAAGAGCCTATTATATGTTCTTTCACATAGCGTAATTAAACTTGGACATTGTGTAAAACCAAGACGTTGGGGGATAACTAAATGTGGGGGTTTTGAATCCATCAGAAAGTCGTGTTTAATTCTGACTTCACAAGTGAGTCCACTGAATTTTTTATTTTCATTTGAAGAAAATAAGTAGATACTTTAGATACAGTTAAATTTTTTTTTTTTTTCTGCTGACTCAGACATTTTACAGCTGAGTACTTCTCACCTTGATTTCTGCAAGGGACGCTCAGTATTAAAAATATGGTCCTTTAGTAGCAGTTTCATATAGTAGAATAAGTATAACATTGATTCATTAACAGTGTAATGACTTTACAGTCTGTGTGTGCTTTAAGGATTTTGTTACATGTCCCTATTCAGGTGAAGCTTTCCAAAATATTTTCAGATTATGTCATAAAAAAATTAATTTTCCAACAAGATTTATGTAACTGATTTTACACCATTTATAGTGAATATATGAATTACTTCAGAAAAGAACTAAAAGCAGTCTCTTTTTGGTGAAAACTAAAAATTGGAAGGGGCTGAAGTGGATTGCTTGCAGAATTTCTAATATGAATGAATCCTTTTTCTTTGTAAACAGAATTATTTAATCTTTTTGTGTGTGTACTGGCTGATTTGAAGTAGGCATGTTCACTCATAAAATGTTAAGAGCAGCACTCCAGTCCTTTAGAGAAAGATGGTACTTTTCTCATTCTGGGTTTTGGGTTGTTCGGTGGGTGGTGCATTTTGGGGCTTTTTTAATTGCTTTCCATTTGAGTAAGCAGACAGCTGGACTCATCTCTCATTTTTATGCTTATAGCCAGCATGAAGAAGAACATAGGCTTGTATTGGTGCCTCCTCAATAAAACAGCTACCTCCTAAGAGCTCCCGCAGCCCTGAGGCACATCCTTCTCAAGGCACTGCAGCCCCTCTTCTGGGACTGCAGGGGCAGCTCTAGCAGTTGGCCAGGTTCTGGCATATCTTCCTTCATTTGGCACCCTTCTTGTCTCACTCCTGCTATGGTGGTGGGTTTTTGTTGGGTTGTGGGTATTGGGTTTGTTTGTTTGTTTGTTTGTGGGTTTTGGGTTTTGGGTTTTTTTTTTTTTGGAGCACCTGTTAGATTTTTCTTTCCAGGTTTGGAAGTTCTCAAATCCTTACTGTGTAGAAAATTGGGTGTGTGAAGGCTTGGAGGCATTGCATCCCAGAAGGCTTACGCATAGGAGAAATACCCTATCCCGTATTCTGTTTTTTTACAAGGCATTTTTAAAAAGTTGTTTCTTTTCTTTCTCTACTAACAGGTTCGCCATAAAATGACACAGAAGGTTTATGCAATGAAGCTGCTTAGTAAATTTGAAATGATCAAGAGATCAGATTCAGCCTTTTTCTGGGAAGAAAGGGATATCATGGCCTTTGCCAACAGTCCGTGGGTGGTTCAGGTAAGGAAGATATGTAAGAGTAAAATAATAAAACCATAAATCTCTCAGTCTTTAGCTGAATTTGAATTTACATCTACAATCAAATCATGGTTTAGGTTCAGATTTTACTTTTAAAAGACATGTACTTATAGCAGTTTAACTGGACTTTTAATCTACTTCCCAAACACAGTCAAATACTCATTTATATTTTTATCACCACAAATGCATTATAAAACTGAATTAAACAGGCTTTTGAAATATCCACATAATTATTTAGAATAATAGGGAGGTTACTTTCCAACCAAGAAAAGTCCTGGATAGAAATGTAGAAACAAATGTCAACATTATTTCCAGTCTTTCCTCGTGATGCAGGCAGTTATCACAGGCAATTAGCATTAAGAGTGCTGTGAGTAGTTGCTGTCTCTTCTGCTGCCATTTGGTAGATGGATGAGTGCACACCCCTGGTCTCTTGCAAGGCAGGAGGTTGTAGCAGTGATTTGCATGAAACCATCTTCTGTTCAGTGGTCAGTTACTGCATCTCCGCACAGAAGTAACATCTGAGTAACGGAGAACTGGCTTCTTTAGCTGGCCTTGAATAGCATTGCTTGCAGCTGCCCATGACATGTACCGTCAGCATGTTTATAATATGAATTAGGCCTTTGGGAAGAATTAGTACTAAATATTGCAATTTGTTGTAACTGGTAAATTACACCAATTAATAAAATGACTAGTGAAAGCATATGCTTAGAGAAATTATTAGTACTTCTTTTTATTAAATAATTAATACATTTAAATGCTGTCACATATATTGCCGTGCTTCTGTATATTTAATAAATAAAAACTGGCCTTAAGCTTTCCATATATTCTTCGTAACACTTCACCTCATATATGCAAGAAATGTTTTACTAGGTTTTTTTTATTTAGAGTTTTTGCTCTTCTGAGCATATTCCATGTTCTTGCCTATATTCAAAAGAAATACATAACCAAATTGATGAATTTTTATTTTGCTCTTTGTTTTTGTTCTAATTACAGTAGTTGTGTCAAATTATTTTCCACGTGCAGTTGAAAGTAACGAGAAATGTGTGACCCTTGATTATCGAGGGAATGTGTAGCAAGCTTGATATAAATGTGTGTGTGTTTGTAAACAGTAAATGAATTGAAGTCCAGTTGCAATTCTGCCTTTCCTGATGAAGTGTGTTAGTGTGAGATATTCAGGTACTGTGGTCCACTGGGACAGGACACTGAGCTGGTTTTAAGAAAATGTACGTCCTGTTCTGAGCCAGAATCTGGGACAGATCGCACTGCTTCTGTGTGCCTTCTTTTTATGTGAAAAACAAATGAAACCAGAGCCCTAGATAATTTAGAATTACTTTTTTTTTTTTTTAAATGAAGCCCCTTGAGGGCAATAATGAAAGGGCTGCATAAAGACATGGTGCTGTTATTTATTATTGTTATATTAATACATATTTACACTTGAGAATACAGAGACTATTTTGGATTTTAATTTAATGACCAAAAGCTTATCATACTATGTATTCTATGTACTATCCATTTGTGAAAACAAGTACAGTGCAATATGTATGTATTAAAACACGTATTTATGATATAGTTCTGTCACTAACATAAAATAAATTTTAATCTAAAGGTCAAGTCTCCTTAATTTTTCTGCCTTTTATGGTTGTTCATCCTCCACAAACTGCCTCTTTATTTCCTTCCTTTTACTCATCCTCTGTTTCAATGGCATGTGAATTTTGTTTGGGTAACTTGAAGATGTGAATGACTTTAGTTTTTAATGTAAAGGAGCAGTATTCCTTGAGAAATAAGGTGAGAGACTTTCAGAAGCATTACCACACCAGTCATTGAACATGTGATAGCAATGGTTTTTGCTGGTTTGGGCCATTTTCAGACCTGGTGATCACTGGGTAAAATCTCATTTTTTTTGAAGAGATTAAACACTTCAGTTATCGTGCTGGTAGGAAAAGATACTAGCTGCAACCTATACCAGACCATTATTTTATTGTTAATTTCTTTGTACTGTGTTATAGTTGTCCTCAGGAACATTTTTTTTTCTTTTCTGTCTTATTTCAGCATACATGTTGATTTAAGACAAAATCAGAAGTGATGAGTGTTTTTCTAAGTAGGTACAGAGATAAGAAGTTTTATAATATATGAAATTGAGAAATAATCCAAGATGCTGTTCCCTGTTGAGCTATTTTAAAATCAGTGCATGATGCTCCCCTTCTCAGATTTGATATTTTGCATTTTCACTCAGTGATACTTTTTAATGCCAGGAATTGTGTCTGTGTGATCATGCTACTGAAATAATGAAGAAACCTCTTTTGCTTCCTTAAAAATGAAAATGATGGTTGTTTTGAAGTTCAGTAAATGCCAAGGTACTGTCATAATTAATAGAAAATGTAGATTGTCTGAATGTAAAAACTAAAGTTACTTTACATCAGTCTTGAAAATTTATGCTCGGTTTTGATGAAACTTCAAGGTATTGAAATGCTTTATTCTTTTTCCTAGCTGTCTGAAAAGTAATTGCTCTTTTTTCTTTTCCTCTTTTTTTTTTTTTAATATTGCAGCTATTTTGTGCCTTTCAAGATGACAAATACTTGTACATGGTAATGGAATACATGCCAGGAGGAGATCTTGTAAACCTTATGAGCAATTACGATGTGCCTGAGAAATGGGCCAAGTTCTACACAGCCGAAGTTGTTCTTGCTCTTGATGCAATTCACTCCATGGGCTTGATACACAGAGATGTGAAGCCTGACAATATGCTTTTAGATAAATATGGGCACCTGAAGCTGGCAGATTTTGGCACTTGCATGAAAATGGATGAAGTAAGTATGCAACTGCACATTTTATCATCTATAAAACTGTAATCCTTTTTTATGAATTGTAATACCCAAAGGAATATTCATCAACAATTGGTTGGAAAGCTGTTCCTTGTCTCCCTCCTAGTTTTAAATACAAGGATACTTTAAATAGTGTCACCTTGCCTATAATAAACTGCTTTGGCATGTGGAAGAAGGATGTAAACTTACTACTTATTTTTGAAAGCATGTGTGTTTATGAATTTCTGCATTTTTTTTTTTTTTGCCAAACGTCTGAAAAGCTTATGAGACAACTTCTAGTTTCAACGTTAGTGACCTTGGAACAGTTCATAAACTGACATTTTTATGTAAAGGAAATTATTTTATAGGCCAAGATACAGGCCTTAATTTTTTTCCTACCATGTCTAATTGTTCTCATAGCATCCTCTAGTGGCCGTTTAAAATGGGGTCGCAGTAAGGCAGCAGCGCTGTTTGATATTTTGATTAAAATCTGTTAGCTGTTCATGTTAAGTGTCCACATTTGCCATGTACAGCCAAATATACAGCTTTTCTAAGAGATTGATAAGAATATTTTATTTTTAGTAGGTCGTAATACCTTATGTAATTAAAGGAGACTTAAGGCTATATTTTTTAGTTTGCACTTGAAAATCTTCCCTGACAAACAATGTTATACTGTAATTTATACAACATATTCTTCCTGTGACAGATTACAACAGATTCTAAAAGAACTCTGTGTGAACGTGTGCTGTCATTTGCCTGGCCTTTGAAAGGTTTCGGTGTTCATGTTGGCAAGGATGATTCTCTTAAGCTTACTCGCTTTAATGCATTAGATTTTTTTTTTTGGTCTGTATTGTTTAGGTATCGCCTGATACAATCTCTGCAATCTACTTCATTTGCTTCATCAAGTTAATGTCTCCTCAGCTGTATCTAGAAGCATTGTCTCTGGTTAGGTTTTTTTTCTTTTCTGTGAGAATATATTAACTTCATTGAACAACTACACCTGTTTATTGAGGTTCAGTATTCTGTTTAGTTTTGCTGATATTGTAGTTGTTATTCTAAAGGCAGATAGATTGTTTATCTCCACTCTGATGATTTACTTGCCTGTATTTTGGAGAACAGCATTCCATTTAATTGGAAAAAAACCCCAAAAGTAGTACTTGTTCTATTAATTTAGGCCTTAAAAAAAATTAATCTTTGTTTCGAACCAATGGCCTGTTGGTCTTAAGGGAGTCTGATCTTCATCAGAAGAGACAATAAAGAAATCCAAGAGTTTGTAATATAAATCTACAAAAAAGGGAGATCCTTCATGTTCTTTTAGGGATCCCAGAAATGGTGAACCAAAGCCTTTTTTTCCTTTTTTTTTTTTTTAATGTTGTTAATGGAATACTAAAATGTGGTTCATCATATTATAAACGTGAGCAGTGCATGCACATGTCTTACAGAGAGTTGTAGTGAGCTCCACTTCGGGATGGGCATGATCAGCGGACTGGTGATCTCCTAAATAAGTTAACTTTTTAACAGATTACATTTTTAAGTTCTTCATGTTTCTCAGACTCAGTGGAATGGCAAAAATTTTTTATACAGGAAGCTTTAGAAGTTGAGAGGTTCTGGATTGTGTCCAAATCTCATGCTACTTCTTACAAAACATGAACACATCCCAGCTGTGTAAATATAATATTGATGTTGGCAGGATGATTTCTAGAAAATATATGCTTACCCAACACTTACTTATTTTGTCTGATTTGGAGTTCCTTTAGCAGTTGTGCACATTAGCCCAGGAAAATCCTGCTGCAATTTGGTGACAGGCTTTTTTTGACTTTTGCTCTGGAATTGAAGTCAGTGTCGCATCCTGTTCAGTCTTCCAGCCCAGTCCGGACACTGGCCGCAGAATTCCTCCTTACCAGTATGTGAAAGGAATTGCTTAGTGTTTTAGTGATCTTTTCCAACTGGCTTGTTTGTGTAATTCAGTTGTGACAGTTTTTGGGATTTGTGTTGTTGGAATGGAGTTGGCCTCAAAAGTTTAGTAGGGATTGTAGTTCCCTTTGGGTGTCTAGGTATGGCAAGGCAGCACAGGGCAGGTTTCGCCAGGCTCTAACGTTCAGGCTGTCAGTAAGAAACTAGCCAGTAGCACGGCTGCCTTCGGTGGGTATCACAGAGCCAGGAACTGCGAGTGCTGCCGGGCTCAGTACAGAGCGCTGTCTTGTGCTAACTCAGCTTTTAGGTGAGCACGTGTTTAGGTGATACCTGTTGAAAAGGGATGTGACCAAAACCGGGATGTTTGCTATTTGGGATTATCGCCTCAGGACAGGCAGTTTAGCTGAAAGAAGGAACGTGTTCCTCTTTTGAGAACTCAACTTACTTCTCCTTGAAGCTCATCCAAGATTGGCTGGATCTTTCTTGCTTCGGTTTGTTGCCTGCAGCACACTGCTGTGCAAGCCCGGGTGCAGTGCGAACACCTGATCTGAGCCATTTTCCTGTTTCTGCACAAGCACTCACCAGCTCTCGCCGACTGAACAGAACTTCATGAGGGAGAGAGAGCCTGATTCAGTGGATGAGGAATTGGTTGGATGGTCGCATCCAGAAGGTAGTGGTCAATGGCTCAATGTCCAGATGGACATCAGTGACAAGTGGTGTCCCTCAGGGGTCTGTACTGGGACCAGTACTATTTAATACCTTCATCACTGACATGGACAGGGGATCGAGTGCACCATCAGCACATTAGCAGATGACACCAAACTGGGTGGTGCAGGTGACATGCCTGAGGGACAGGATGCCATCCAGAGG